ATACTTAGACTCTTTCCTTTGGATTATATGCTCCAAGCACAATGGAGTTATGCGGTTGTAGATATTGTAAATTAAGGTGACTATTTTGACCTTATAAGTGTCGAATAAAGAGTCCCAGTTAGCTATTTTCCTTACATCCTCAGAGGGCATGTCGCGCGGGAGATTATATATGACTCTAGTGGCCCCACAATGTATGGATTCCAAAGAATTAAATTCGTTTTTATTTGTACAACACCCCCAAATTGGTAGCGCATATGTAACTGAGGGTAAAATGACTTTAAAATATAGATCTAAACGCGAATTCCTGGGTAAAAAGCGACTGCATACTGCATACATACATACATTTTTGTACACATTTGAGAGGGGCTTCAAATTTTTGATTTTAATCAAATTTGTGCCTCTCAAGAGATCATAAAAAAAGGTTCCCCTGATAATTATACCCAACTGCTGAACAGAGTGCTCAAACCATCCTCTAATTCAGAGCAAAATGGTCATGCTCCAATTTAGACCAACGGTGATTGGAGGACAGTCCATGTTCTTTTCTCTTAACCCCCGGGGGGGGGGGGTACTCCCTTATATGGGCTATATAGGTATGTGCGGTCCCAAAGGGTATTGTTTTTCAGCCGTTTTGGTCATAAATAGGGTGAGGATTTTAGCTGATTTTGGTCATAAATAAGGTATGGTTTTTGCACTCTAGCCTTCGTATGGATAAGTTTTGAAGAAGAAGCCACTTTTTCATCATTATCGAAAAGAAAAACAACAAAAGCCCTTCACAAATTATGTTTATGGTAACTTAATACTAGGGAACCAATCATAACGCAGGTCTGAAACAGGGTTTTGATTTAAGGGTCAGGTAATAAATAAGGTTTCGAATTTTTGGTCAGGTTATAAATAAGGTAGGGAATATCGCAGATTTTGGTCATAAATACGGTAAGGGTTTTGGGAAGCGGGCTGCACACCCTCACTCAATTTTTCTGGAAGTCCTCCCCGGGTCTTAACCTTGATAGGAACACAGTTATCTCCTCGATTCACTTGATCTTTCCAGATTTCTACAAGTCTACATATCAAAAATGAGCTTGGTTTTATTCTGTGAGCTCATTGTGAGTACAGGGGAGGACTATATCCTGGGGGTGGAGGGCATATTCATCTCACTTAGGGGTATAATCAAGGATTCTGGTCTCCCTTAGGGTGTTCATAACGAAACGCCACTATTTTTAGCGGTCAAAGTATCTTTTAGGGTGTACTCGATGAAATAATAAAAGAAATGCTTTTATTTCCGTTTCACGGGTCGATGTCTACCTGTCTCGAGAGCCCGGCCTACCAGCACGGGCTCCTTTCCTAAACAGCAGCTGGTAATCAAGCCTATTCCGTTTTAAGTGGTATCTTTCAGGGATCAAATAAAGCTTGAACCACGCCCAGATTGATCTCATTTGGGTGTTTAATTCAAATTTTCCGACGAGCATCCCGACCTTTACATATGGGAATCCCCCCCCCCCCCGGGAATATATGGCTTCACTCCGTTATTACAATACTGCAGTTACCGCTTGATTCTACAGTTTGAAGTTTACATATGCATCCGAATAGTAATTTATTTATGATTTAAGTGTTTAAATGCATTCTTTGCACTTCAGGCGATGCACAGTTTGTTTCTGCGACGTATCGTCTGTTCAAAGTTCCACAAGGCAGCAAGACAGATGGATCGAGAGTAACATACAAAGGTATCGGATACAATCTAAATAAGCGAGTCAAGAAATGAGAAAAAAAAAGGGGAAGGAGAGGAAGAATGAAATATTTCACCATACCCTCACCGTACCCCTCTTCATTTGTAAATCATTGTGACCTCTCTCCCTCCCTCCCTGGTCTACCCTTTGACTTTCCATGATTCCCCTCGTTACTTTGCGACTGTTACACGGTATCCAAATGAGCGATCTCACCACCCGCTTGTCGTGTGAGGTTTATTTATACTGGTTACTTTTTGTAACTTATTATATGGCAAGGTAGTCTTGTGGTAGATCCTAGCGTTTTGATTGTTTCTTTCTCTGGATTTTGCCACACGGACCGTTTCCATGGAAATGGTCATAAGCCGTGTGCTTTTTGCTTTCGAAAGCCGGCAAGTTCAATAATCAAACATGGCCCGAGTGCCATATAATAAACTACTAGCACGCACTAATCTAGCTTGCTCAAGCAGTACTTGGGAATAGCACGGACCTCGCTGCGCTCGGTCTGTACTGTAACAATCTCGGGCCAATATTCCCCAGTACGGCCTCGCGCTCGGTTAGTAAGAGGCTGTGTCTCACAAGGACTGGGAACTACCCAATTCGCTAATTTGATTGGCTGAAATCGATATTTGAAGCGGTCCAGATTTTCCCATCTAGACCGGCCTGTAGACCGGTAATGTTTTGCGGTGAAAAAGTTGCAAAGTAAAATGCAAAAATTTTGACCATTTTCTTCTTACAATATTTATTTATCGAAGTGCCAAAAAGCCTGATGAGAAAAAAAGTAAAGAGGACGAGCAAACTTTGGCGGAAATAACTTCAGCTCATCGCCGTTCGCAAGGAAAATGTCAGTTACGTACAAACCAGTAACATTAAACGAACCACGTAAATTGTTCTTGTTTGCCATATAATAAACATCTTAACCGAGCTTAGTCGGTCTGTATGGGAGGATCTTGACCTCGGTCGTGTGTACAGACCTCGCTGCGTTCGGTCCGTACTGTAACAACCTCTGGCCAATATTCCCCAGTACGGCCTCGCGTTTGTTTAGTAAGAGGTCAACATTTTGCATGGGAGAAGGTCGAACTTTGAAAAACGTAAAAAGTAGAAATCTATAAAAAATTATGAACCGAAGTAGTTAATTTTAAGAGAACGTAGTTCTAGTTTTTTATTAGTAATCGTTCCTTTGTGCTAGGTTCCATGGAAGACAATCCAAGTGAATTCAAGTTTAACGTTCACAATATATTCACGGTATGTTTATCACACTCAGTGGAGTTTGTCGATCAGTTACCAAAACTGAAAGCTGGTGTTTAAATATCGGGGCTTTTAATGTTTATTTTGCAGAAAACACCGAAGATTGTTTCTGCTGGAGTGGCAAGCGTCCTTTGTGCATCTCGTTTCTCGAAGCATCTTGAATTCCATCCGTTGGAGCCTGGGACCGCTGCCCCTGCTGATGGCGTTGACAGTGAGGCGGACCCATTTGCTTATTGCGAGTCAAACAATGTCGCTCCTGCGGCATGTTGCGCCGAGCCGGCTAAACAGGAAAGTTGCCGTGCCAAACCTGTTGAGCAGGAAAATGGTTGTCCGAAGCGTGCGAGGACTGACTATGAAGGTCCTTGTTGCTAAAAGTTCACTTGAAAACTGCAAGATGTACTGAGAGTCTGACACTCTAGTAGATAGGAAGGAAGTATAGCTCAGCTGATAGCGTTTAATATTTGTTGTGTACTAATATAACTTAAAATACGGGCTACATTTAATATGTAACTTTGAATGGGAGGAAATAAACATGCCTTAAGTTTCCTTAGTGGTTTGTTTTGTTTCTGTTGCTCTTGGGAATTAAACCTTTGAATGAAGGGATAACTCAAAAGGACGTGTTAATTATGATCACAGCATAGCTCCTTTGGCGCTATAAGAAAACAATTTAACGTTTCCAGAGACTTGCGATTGTCTGGGTGTGGGTAGTTCTGAAAAGAACTGTTGTTGAATAAGACACTGACCTGAGGTCATACGTTACAGTGTTAGCCATAGGATTAGCAAGTTTGTTTATCCCTCCTAAATTATATAAAGTCACCGACAACAGTTCTTTTCAGAGCTACCCTTGCCCAGACGATCACACTATACCTACCACTGGTGCTCGTGAGTTAGAACTGGGCTTTCACCTTTTTTTACTGAAACTGACTCACTGAGACAGACTTTCATATATAACAAAGATTATATATTTTGTAACGTTTCGCTAATTACACTGGAGTATGTTCACTATGTATGGTTCATGTTAACTGTAGAAG